AGTATCTTTTGAAGTACACACATTTTTAATTTTGATGAAGTTCAATTTATCTACATGTTCTTTTATTGCTTCTGTTCTAGGGATCTTATCTAGTGCTCCTGTAAGAAAAATACTACCAAGGGCTAGCCATAGCATATAGATACTTATTTTCTCACCGTTTAGGAGGCTGTAAGTCCAAATTTAGGCCATCAATTCTAGAAGACTTTTTCTCTCTTGTTGGGGCTAGAAGAAGTTTGTCTCCCTTTAAGCTTTTGCCCCTGGGTGATCTGTATGTGTCTTGGGATCAATCTTCTCCTGGGTCTAAGAGGGTCTCAGCATAGGTATCCTTAGTCCAAAGAACATACTCTGCTCTGGTTCTTCGTACTTGGTTGTATTGAGGTCTCTATTTCTCCGTTTTCTTCTCTTTCCTTTGATCTCTTATATGATAATGATAAAAGGTGATGAAAGTCACACCTCTGGGAAGATCCCAGTCCCCGTCCCTGAGTCCCTGAGTGAGGCTGTTGCATCCCAACCTGCTCCCTTTACAACTGATTAGCAAATTACATGCTGGGGGACAGTTGTACCATTACATAGTTGATAAATTACATTAGTACATTCATTGGGACACAAGCTGAATGCTCCAGAATGGCCACATTAATGTCAACTCAAACCATATCTCCTGTCCCTTACCCCTGTTCCCCCCTCCCTCTTATCTAGGAAGGAGCCTAGCCCCCTCCTTCCCCTATGCATACCCAAACTCTTTGTTCTCTAGGAAGGGGTAGGCAGCTCTGCACCTTGTGGCTTCCCTACCTGTTTCTTGTTTTGTATATCACCTTTAACTGCCCTGACATGTGAAACTTGTATGACCCTAGCCCATCCCTCTCGTGAGGAAAACATTTCATTGTTCAGCCAGCTGCTGCTGGAGACAGTTGTTCATGTCTCTTGTCAGTAAGTTTCCCTGTCAGCAAACCATCTCTTTTGTTTTGTTTTCTGTAGTAAACTAATGTTCAAGTTGGGTGTTTGTTTGTTTTTTCCGGTCTCTCAGCAACTGCGTACCTAGAAGACTTTTCCCTTCTGAACCTAAACCCCAAAAATAGAGCTGTTGAGAATCATGGCTCCACAAAGGTGACACTTATATTTTGGGAACACAATGCAATCCATGATATTTAGCAAACTATTGTCTAATCCAAGGTCACAAAGATTTATGATGACATTTTCTTCTAAGTGTTTTATAGGTTTAGTTCTTACATTTAGGTCTTTGGTCCATTTTGAGTTCATTTTTGTATATGGCTAACTGCATTTCCCTCCACTCCCCCGTCCCATGGAAATCCAGTTGTTCTAGTGTGAGTGAGAAAGAATTCTCAAGCTGGTCCATCTTCAGGAATAAGGAAACAAAGGATGCAGAAAATTGCTAATTGAGATTGTTGGTTGATATAGTGACAGGAGCTCTGACAGCACAGTGGTTATGAGTCGGGCTTCTAACTTCAAGGTCAGCAGTTCGAAACTACCAGCTGCTCTGCTGGAGAAAGATGAGGCTTTCTGCACCAGTAAAGATTTACAGCCTCAGAAACCCTGTGCAGGGTCGCTATGAGTCCGAAGCGACTCCACAGCACATAACCACCATAGTGACAGGAGCCCATTCACCTGGGGTATGTGTAAACAGGATAAATTAGGGGAGGGGTATGGGGAATCTGTTTGAGAAGTAGAAACTTTGGAACTAGGTGACATGCAGGAAGATTGTTCTCCCCACAGTACTCAGTCAATGAGGAACCGGGAAAGGGACTTTTCCAGCTAGGAGATAAGAATGCTTGTAAAACAGCCAGCTAGGAGATAAGAATGCTTGTAAAACAGTCACACGCAGCAACTTCTTCTGGGTTTGATGCCCGATTTTTCAAAATCGAGTAATAAAACCTCAGTCTCACTAAAATGAGCACAGATTAGATTTCTTGCACATTTGTCAGTAAACACTCATGATAACTCATCTGTGTCCTCATATGGGATAAGGCGGTCCACCCCAGTTCTCCCTGCAGAGACCCATTGGGGTTAGGTCCTAGTCGGGGGTTTATATGGAGCCACCAGTTACTGAAAGGAACTGAGGCAGTGTTGGGGTATCGACAACATTTCTCACACTAGCACCATTTGTTGATGAGAATATTATTTCTTCTGTGAATGGACTTGAGTACTTTGTTGAAAATCACTTGTCTGTAAATGTTTGGATAACTGCTGGATTCTCATTCTAATTCCATTGATCCTTCTGTCTATTTGGATGCTAGTACTGCACTGTTTTGTATACTGTGGTTGTTAGGTGCCATTGAGTCAGGTCTGCCTCTTTAGCAATCCTGTGTACAACAGAACAAAACACTGCCTGGTCCTGCGCTACCCTCACAATTATTACATGTGAGCCCATTACGGTGACCACTGGGCCAATCCAACCTGCTAGGGATCTTCCTCTTTTTCACTGACCCTCCACTTTACCAAGCAGAATGTCTTTTCAGGGACTGGTCCTTCCTGATAATAGGTCCGAAGTATGAGAATTGAGGAGTCCTGGTGTAGCGCTGTGGGTTAATGCACTGGACTACAACGTTGGTTGGAACTGCCAGGTTGAAAGTTCAAGCTCACCAGCCGCTCCTTAGAAATCCTGTACAGGGTCGCTATGGGTCAAAACTGATGGCACTTAACAACAACAACATGAGAGATGAAGTTTCGTCAACCTGGCTTCTAAGGAGCACTCTGGCTGTACTTTCAACACATATTTGTTTACTCTTCTGGCAGTCTATAGTATTTTCAATATTCATCTCCAACACCATAATTCGAATGCATAAATTCTGCTATGGTCTTCCTTGTTAATTGTTCAACTTTCACATGCATATGAGGCTACTGAAAATACCATGGCTTGGGTTAGGTGCACCTTAGTCCTCAAAGTGATTGATATCTGTGTTCTTGAACATTTTGAAGAAGTCTCATGAAGCATATTTGCCTAATGTAATATGTCGTTTGATTTCTTGCCTGCTGCTTCCATGAATGTTGATTGTGGTCCAAGCAAAATTAAATCTTTGACAACTTCAATCTTTCCCGCATTCATGATGCTATTTATTGGGCCAGTTGTAAGGATCTTTGTTTTCTTTACAATGAGATGCAATCCATACTGAAGGCTGTGGTCTCTGGTCTTCATCAGTAAGTACTTTAAGCCCTGAATCCTGGTGTGGCGCTGTGAGTTAATGCGCTGGACTGCAAAGTCAGTTTGAACCAAAAGGTAGGAGGTTCAAGCTCACCAGCCGCTCCTAGGAAACCCTGTGCAGGGTCACTATGGGTTGGAACCGACTCGGTGGCACTTAACGAGAACAACAGACAAACACTTAACAACAGCAAGCTTTCAGCAAGCAAAGTTGTATCATCTGCACATCGCAGGTTGTTAAGGTGTCTTCCTCCAATCATGATGCCGTGTTCTACATAGAGTCCAGTTTCTTGGATTTGTTCAACATACAGGTAAGTATGGTGAAAGGAGCTTTGTAGTAAGTTTCGAATTTGCCAATGTTACCTGGTTTCCGTCTTTGGACAACCACTATGTTCATTTTTATTTATTTTGTCAATTGCATTGCTATGACTGCTTTTCAGCTGCAAGGCAGAAGTGAGTAGTTGCAGAGAATTTATGACTGGTAAAACCCAGAAACCTCAAATCCATTGCCTAAGAGTTTATTCAGACACATAGCAACCCTGGAGGACGTTGTTGTTGTTGTGAAATGCCATTGAGTCGATTCAGACCCATAGCGACTCTGTATAGGGTTCCCAAGGAGTTGCTGGTGAGCTTGAACTGCTGACCTTGCAGTTCAAATGGCTTTGCACTCTGGCGCATTAACTCATAGCACCAGGACTCTGAGGACAAGGTAGAAAGGCTGTCATTTTTTATAGAAGCTGATTGCCACATCTTTCTTCTACATCTTTCTTCAGGGAAGCAGCTAGCAGCTGGGCACTTACACCTCACACCCGGCTCTCTATGGTTAGTAAAGCCTTACATTATTTTCTATTTGGCATTTTAGTGATTAATTTTATTTTTTTTTTTACCATTTCAAGCAACGCTTCTATAAATATCCATGTTTTTTGCACATGTGAATGAAATATACCTTGTTGTTTTTGTGTCATTGAGTGGGTTCTGACTCAGCGACCCTGTATATATTCCAAAGAACAGCTAGTGGGTTTGAACTTATAACCTTGTGGTTTGCAGTCCAGTGCTGATCCTACAGCACCGCACCAGTAATCTGTAGAAATGTATGTTGTTGTTAAGTGCTGTCGAGTCGGTTCTGATCCATAGCGACCCTGTATAGGGTTTCCAAGGAGCAGCTGGTGAGCTTGAACCGCCGACCTTGCAGTTCAAAGGGCTTTGCAGTCTGGCGTATTATCCCACAGCGCCACACCAGGACACACAAGTGGAATTGCTAGGCCTTAGATCTCAGCACTTGTCATTTTAATAGACATTCTGGAATCCGCTAAAGAAGTTGAAGTAATTCACACTCACTCCAACAGAGCAAGTTTAGGCCTGTTCCCCCACTGCCTTGCTCTCACAATTTGCCAATAGTTTGATATTACCAATCTGATAATTTGATTAGTGAAACACCGTGCTCATTGTAGTCTTAATTTGCGTTTTTCCTATTATGAACAAAGTTTAGTACTTTTTCCTAACTCTGATAGCATTTGGAAAAAAAAAACCAACTCCTAAGAAATCTTCCTGCCTTCAGAGCCCTTTCCTGCGCGGCGGACTCATAATCCGAAGCCTCGGCCTCGGGAGTGACGCGCGAAGGAGAGTGTAGTCCGACAGGGAACGAGATCTTAGGTCCACATTGCACATCCTTTCGCTCGCGGCCGCGGAGCCCCGCCTTGAGTCCGCCTCCTGCCGGCCTGGGCGGAGCGAGTGGCCGGGTGGGCGGGGTTGTGTTGCCTGGTTTAATCTTAGCCGGGGCCGAGAAGGAGTCAGATCCCGCCAGTGAGATCAGGATTCTGTGTGCTGCCCTCCGGCTTCCCGCAGCATGTCGGGCCCCCGCCTGCTGGCTGCGCTCTGCGGTGCGCTCCTGTGCGCCTCCGGTCTCTTCGCCGCCTCGGGTAAGTGGATCGCGCCGCCCCTGCTCTCTGCGCCTCTCGGAAGTTCTCCCGGACGCTCTCCCTCCACTTCCCAAACCCAAACCCATTGCTTTAGATTCTGACTGCTAGAAATCGTATAAAACAGAGTGGAACTCCCCCTATAGAATTTCCAAGGCTGCGATCTTTACGGAAGACGAGTGCCCGGGAGCGGCTGATAAGTTGCAATCGCCAATCTTTCGGTTAGCAGTCCAGCAATTAGTCACGGCGCCACCAGGATTGTTCCTCCACTCTAATGTTTACAAACTTCGGTAAAGCACCGGCAGGGGCAGTGCCCGGGCCGATGGAGGGTCGAGCGCCGCCTCTCTGCTGTCTGCGTCAGTGGGTTTTGGGCAGGGACGGAGGCGCGAGCATTTGGCGGGGACGCAGGACACTGGTTGACAGCCTGCCGCCTCCAGGAATGTGGCTTACACACAACAAAGAAATCCGCTGTGTTGGGCCTCTCTTTTCCCTTCTGTAAAATGAAGCCACTGAGCCCCTTCCACCTGGAAGATCGTTGTTGTTAGGTGCCGGTATGCACAACAGAACGAAAAACTGCCTGGTCCTGGGCCAACCTCCCAATTGTTGCCACGCTTGAGCCCATTGATGCTGGAAGATCGTAGGACTATTGTATTGCTAAGTCTTCTCCAGCCAACTTTGCTTGGAACTTCCTTTCAGCCCCTTTCCCTTTGGACGACGGTTCATTGTTTTGTTTTTTTTTCACGCCCATTTGCAGATATCTGGTCCGATAAGAAAGGGGCTTGGGAGTCCCTGAAGTGGGTGGAGTAGGTTGGGGCTCAAGGTGGGGCCCAGGATGGGCTAAAAGCCTGGGAAGCACTTGAAAACGCTCTCGCGCTCTGGGGAGTCTCCTGACTTCCTCCGGCGTCCTTGGCTCTATCTCCCTTGTTCGTCCTCCTCCGCTGCTCTTTCTCAGACAGCTGGGCCTCCCGCCGGTGCGGAAGGTTGGAGTGGCCCACGTGCTGCTCCACCCTCTCCAGGGATGGGAAAGAGGTACGTTTACGAGGTGAAGGCCGGAACTCCATCATTTTAACAGAAATGGATTGGCAAGGTGAGGGGGTTCACAGCTCTGCGGTCCAGTGACTAGTGTGACCCCCAGGTTTCGAGCTGAGGCCACAAGGGCAATCCAAACGCCCGTATACTGGGGTTCTCTTGCACCTCCCCAGCGATCCTTAGGGCTTGAAACTCAAAGATTCCTTCCATTCCTGCTGTCTTCCCAACTTGAGCCCTGGCAATACGTGTGTACGTGGGTGTGTGTGTGTGTGTGTGTGTGTGTGTGAACTTCCTGAAAAAAGGGTTAGCACCTCATCTGCCCTGCACAGGTGGCTTATCCCAGCCCTGAGAAGGCCTGGCCAGCTGGAAGGCACCTATCACTTTCCTTTTTCCTCCCGTAGTGTGGGTTGGGGTGAGCCTTAGAATAAGAGAACAGAGTCCAGTACTCTGCCTATTCCCCAGTCTCTGTCTATGGCAGTGTCCCCGCCTCCTAGGTCAGGGGAGGGATTTAACCTGCTATTTAAAGCCAATGACTAATAGCTCCTTGGGAGAGGCCTTAAGCTCTTGAGGCCAGGACTGAGATAGAACTCTGAGGACTCTAATTGTTGTTATGTGCCTTTGAGTCGGTGCCAACTCATAGTGACCCTCTATAGGGTTTTCCAGGAGCGCCTTGGTGGGGTTTGAATCACCGACTTTGCAGTCTAGTGCTTATCCTACAGCACCACACTCCTAATGGCTCATTGGTGGCAATGTCTTCCCTGGAGTCATGGCCAGAGCTCCCTGCCATTTTGGGATTTCAGGAGGCTCTTGCAGCCTGGATTTGGGTGACTCTGGGGGTGAGGAGAAGAGATTACTCACATCTTATCCAGAATGACTGATTTGGGTGTGGGGCCTGAGACAACCTTTCTAAGTTGGGCTCCTGGTGTGGCACTGTAGGATAAGCACTGGACTGCAAACACAAGGCCAGTTGTTCAAACCCACCAGCCACTCCTTGGAAACTGATTCAGTGGCACTTAACTCAGCCAGAGGACCCTTCTCAGCCTGGTAAACTCCATGGGCTACAATTCATTGGTTGGTACCAGAGACTAAAGGGATTGGGGACAGACTAGTGTGAAGTGCACTTCAAGTCTAGCCTTTAAGGGGACCCATTTTTTGGGTGTGGGGATGGGGTCCCTTTGGTCATTGTGTTCAGTCATGTAGATCTAAACCCTCAAGTGCATCTGCTTCTCCTTCTGTGTTGTCCACCATGGTCAGTAGGACACATGTGTCACCCAGGCCTTCAACCAGAAGTCTTAGTGTCCTCCCGCCCTCCTCGTACCTCTTCAGTCTTTGCTGGATGCGTCTCTGCTCTCTGGTCTCTGCTGTCTTTCATATTTGGCCTTCCTCCGCACCCTCTTTGCCCTAACTCCCTCCCTCCCTCACCAGATGCCTGTGACAGCCTTTCTTGATGTTCTCCAGGGCTCTCACCTCACCTACTCCATTCTGATTTCCACCTAGCAGCCAGAGGGCTCTGGTTACAGCTACCAGACATCGGCTCACCCCAGGGTCTTGTAGCATCTCTGCAGATGGGCAATTTTTAACATTCTAAAATTGGAAGTGGCTTCTTCACTTTTGCTTCACACTTGAAAATTTCTGTGTTTAAAAAAAATTCTTGGTGGACAATGATGGGATGATTGAAGGAAGGTTAAGAACCCCTGGCCTGCAGGATTAAAAAGTCTAAATTGGCATGCTAAACGGGTAAATACGCTGGACTACAAGGTCCGGTGGTTTAAGCTCACCAGCCACTCCTCGGAAACTATACAGGCTTGCTCTGAGTCAGAACCCATTCGACGGCACTTAACAAAAACAAAGTTCCTCCTACTCTGTTCCCAATCTGCTCTATCATTCTTCATAGGTTACCCCTAGTATTCAAAATGTTCTTTTTTGGTTCCCCAGTCTGGCACACTCACATTCCATCTTCTAGACCCAGCTCAAATATCTTCTCCCTCAAAAGAACTATCATCTTCTTGGCAGAAATCATGCTTTTGATTGTACCTTGGGCAGGCTGCTTTTGCTAAGGCATCTGGTGCCTTTACATGGCAGCGTGTTGACCTGCATACTTGCTCTTTGAAAGCGTCTTGAGGCCTGGATGATGGCGCATTTTTGTCTGAGGGCCCAGCACAGCACGTCCATGGTAATTGACTCCCCATATGTTTATTGAATGAACAACATGTTGTCCCGGATCTGCCATCACAGGTGACTTCTGTGACTCCAGCCAGTGTCAGAATGGTGGGACTTGCCTGGTGGGTCTGGACAGTGCCCCCTTCTACTGCCTCTGCCCTGAAGGCTTCACGGGCCCTACGTGCAACGATATTGAGAAAGGTATCTGCCCCGGGCTGTGCCTATTACTCCCCGCCCCTAGTTCTAAGTTGTTGGTGTCTCTGGTGGCTGGGCTGTTCCTGAAGTGGGCAATGGTCCTCAGAACCCTCTCCTCTTGGTGGTCAGCTTCACCCTGGGAACTCTCAGCCCCTTGGGAAGCTGGATACTTCTACTTCCTTACTTAGATGGATTCACCTACACTTGACCATCCTTTGCTGGGGCCCCACCAGGCAAATTAGGGTGGGTAGGGGATAGGTGGACAGTAGATTGAGTCCTTTTGGACTAGACACATTTACTGCCCCTAGCTCTGTCCCCAGCATCTTCCATGACCATCTGTCCATTTTACCTGCCTCCCCAGGTCCCTGTACCCCAAACCCCTGTCACCAAGATGCTGAATGCCAGATGACCAGCGGCAGGGGGGATGCTTTCACCCAGTACATCTGCAACTGTCCAGAGGGCTTTTCAGGTGTTCACTGTGAGACCAGTGAGTATCGGGTGGTCTGCTCTGGGGGCTGAACCTGTGTCTTGGTGGCACAGGGTGGGAGCTGGCCTTATTTCCTGTGTGGAGGCCTCCTGGGGTAGAGTGGGGGTGGGGCAAAGCCTCAATGAGGCCAAGAGGGGAACAGGGTCTTGTTGTTTTTCCTCAGGCTTCTCCCTGCCTGGCCCTCTCTCCTGGGACTGACTGTAGGCCAGACCCTCTGTTGCTCTGGGGGAGGGAGAGATTGTGGCCCAGAGGTCATGGGAGTGCTGTTTTCCTGGGGCAGCCTGGGCCAGACACTGGAAGTCTTGGGATTTTTCTATCGAGAGCAAAACAAACACGTTCTTAATTCTATAGGGCCCCGAAGTCAGTAAATCAGGCTCGGGCCTCACTCGGGCCTTCAGTCTGACAGTTCCTGGCCCAGATCTGAACTGTAGCCTCATCGTGGAGCTTGGGGAGGAGGGAGTGGCCAAGGCAGTGACTGAGCTGTCCACTTGAGGACAGTTGGGCTGTCAGAGAGACCCAGCATGTGCACAGGGCTGACCCTGTGTGGCCATCTACCCTGCCACAGAATGGCCCTGGATGGGTGCCCAGCAACATGGCCAGCAGAGCCCAAACAGAACTCTTCCTGTTTTGTCTGCTGTGGACTGGGTGGGCCCATATCTGTGTCCTGGAATAGGTGGAATCGTGAGATGGGATCCCAGGTTCCCAAAGTCCAGTGGGCCAGGTTCTAAGCGTCTCAGGCCCGTCCCGGCAGCCTTCCTCCAGACAGATGTGGGACATGGGTTCTGCTGTTAACTGAGATACAGAGGAGCTGGGGCATATGGGGTAAGGCAAGAAGAAATAGGACCTTGCCTGGGGAGCAGGCGAGGGGCTGGGATGCCCTCCCAGGAGGCAGCACCAAGGACCTGTGTCAGACATGCTTGAGGTCCTGGGTGTTTGGGTGTGTAGGACGGTGGGGGTGGGGGTCTGCAACAGCAGGGCCTAGGGTGGGGCCAGGTGGGCAAACTAATTATACTGTGCCGGGAGCTGAGTGTACCTGAGCTGAAATTACCCACTAAGCCCTCTGCAGGCTCCTAGGCTCAGAGGTCTGCCCTGGCTGGGTAGGGCAGCACCTGGGCAGAAAGAAGGCAGGGAGTCTCCTAGAGGGACTTTTGGTTGTTTTTTTTAAAGTTTTTATCGTGAATTGAGTGATAGTTTACAAGGGAGAACATCTGTTTTAAACCTTCGTTTCATTGCAATGATTACAATCTCCTCTGTGCATCATCATTCAACAATACTCGCTTCTATGTCCTCTGGGGTTTTCTTTTGGTGGGATGTACATAAAAACACTCAGGAATATATAATCATTTAAACAACCAAAGGACACATTCTGCAAGCTAGTCTCCTGGCTGCCAGCACACAGTCTTTCTCTTCTCATGAATCTAGAATCTTCAGTTGCTCTCTCTCCCTGTCCCCATCTCTGCCTCCATCTCTGGTGTCACTGCTTCTCTGGACAGCGGACCCTTGGCTGTTTTGTGGAGTGCTTCCTGGAGCCAACAAGCACTCCATTGCTCTGAAGAATGCACATTTGGGCCCCTCTGGACATGGGAGTGTGTGGAGAATCTTGGACGCAGACTGGGCTTAGCTTTGCTCAGCACCTAAGAGGCTCTAATCCTGGGTGACTGGCCTCATACCCCCGGGCCTGGAATGGGAGAGGTTCTCAGGAAGAGCAGGTCTGCCCCTGGCCTCTCTGCCTGCAAGGGACGCCTGGGGGATCAGAGAGGAGACTCAGCCCATTGGTGGGCCCTGCAGCTGACCTGCAACCCGGCCTGCAACCCGATACTCCATCATCCGACTAGTGGGGAGGGTGACAGTCACAGATGGCTGGATTAGGACCTGCAGATAGAAGAAACCAGGAAGACCAACACTCACGCCTGAAAACAGCCAGTGGGATTCTAAAAAAATCACAAGACAAGTTTTTCTCATTGCTTTATGTGCAGTGCATGTATGATGAGGGCGGCTTCAAAAAAGTTTGTGGAAAATGGAAATGAAAAGATCATGAAATTTCCCCACAAACTTACTGAGGTGTCTCTGTCCCTGAAGGCCTACTTCTTCCTGGGGAAACCAGGAACAGGGGTGGAGGTGGCACTTGGCCAAAAGGAGAAGCTCACACTGATATTCTGTCACCTGCCCTGGGTCCCAGCGCTCATGACTCTGCCCAGCTTCTCTCTGCCTCATCCCTAACCCAACCTTGCCATGCCCTTCTCATTGATCCCCTTTATGAGCACTGTCCTCATTTACACTTTGTGATTCCTACTCTGGGTGAAGGCTCTGGATCCAGAGCGTGGACACAGTGTCCTCTGGGTCCCTCGGGTCCTGGCACCTGCTGATGGCTGCCTGACTGCTGTCTTCCTCCCCAAGGCTGCTTCAGGCCGCTGGGCATGGAGGGAGGTGCCATTGCCGACTCGCAGATCTCCGCCTCCTCTGTATACTTTGGCTTCTTGGGCGTGCAACGCTGGGGCCCGGAGCTGGCTCGTCTGCACCTCCCGGGCATCGTCAACGCCTGGACAGCTAGCAACTATGACAAAAATCCTTGGATCCAGGTGTGAAGAAATGACTTCCAGGCACCTTGAGGGATGGTTCTGGGGCTGCGGGTAGAGGGCTTGACGCCGAAGCAGGAGAAAGTAGGATGAGTGGGCCTGTGTTAAGGGGCCACCAGGGGAGGGTTTATAACTGGGGCTCAGGTGAAGGAGTGTCTGCAGGTGGAAGGCAGTTGGGGGCCTTGGATGCAGAGGGAGTGATGCCAACCTGGAGCCTTGCCCCTCCTTGAGCCCTATTAGCACAGCATGCCTCCCCACCTCTTTGTTCTGTGTGTGTCCCCTGTGTGAGTTGGCCTGGACTTTGGACAGGAAGATTCGAGGGGTGAGGGTACTGCTCTCTCTGCCCCTGTCCAGGTGAACCTGCTGAGGAAGATGCGGGTGACAGGTGTGGTGACACAAGGTGCCAGCCGGGTGGGCAGTGCCGAATACCTGAAGACCTTCAAGGTGGCCCATAGCCTCGATGGGCACACGTTCCAGTTCATCCAGGATGCTGAGAGGCGTGGAGACAAGGTGGAGCTGTCAGAGGGTCCCCAGTGAGGGGAGGGGACTCGGGCCTATCGTGGAAGAAGAGGTGGACATTGGTCCCTAGCTGGAAAAGAAAGGGAGCTAACTCTAGAAACAGTGAGTCTTGTTTCTCAGAAACCAGGAAACTCAGATTGTGCCTGGGTGTTAGGATTCAAGTAACAGGTCCACTTTATAGATAAAAATTGTTTTTGTTGTTAAGTGCCATCTAGAGGGCTTCCTAGGAGTGGCTGGTGAACTTGAACTGCCGGCTTTGAGGTTCAAACCAACTTTGCAGTCCAGTGCTTTAACCCACAGCGCTACACCAGGGCTTCAATAGATAAACATATTGAGTTGGAACAAGGTGAAACGGCTTGTTGAGGGTGGTGGACAACTGGGATGCATTCTGAGTCCCTACTGTATACAGTTGTGCAGGTTGAATACTGCTCAAGAATACCATTACCAAGTGGGCTTCCAACAGTTTGTGGAAAAATGGAATAAAAAGATTATGACATTTTCCCGTGAACTTTATGAAGCCACCTCGTATGTGTTTATTTGCTTAAGTTTGTCAGAAAATTGTCACAATAAGTAACGTATCTTGAGTGAAGAGTGCCTTTGTCTAATATGCATTGATGTTGTTGTTAAGTGCCACCGAGTCGATTCCAACCCATAGTGATCCTGTACAGGGTTTCCGAGGAGCAACTGGTGAATTTGAACCACCGATCTTGCAGTTCAAATGGCTCTGCAGTCTGGCGCATTAACCCACTGCACCACACCAGGACTCCATATGCATAGAAGCACCTTATAGTTCAGAGGTAGCTCTCAGTGAGAGACAGGGACCTCATGATGACTGGGAAGCGTGTAAAAGAAGGGAGATCTGGGTTGTAGACTGGAGGAAGGCCTAAGGGAAGGCTCCTGCTAGCTGTGTTAAGGCCCCTCGCAGGCTGCCCATGTCTTAGCCTTCCTGAGCTGGAGAGGAAAGTGAGGCAGCTCCAGGAAGTGGGACTGTCCACATTGACGGATTCCTTTAATGTACCCTTCCCTCCTAGGTGTTTGTGGGTAACGAGGATAAAAGTAGCTTGAAGAAGAACCTGTTTGACTCCCCTCTGGAGGCGAAGTTTGTGAGGCTGGTCCCTGTGAGCTGCCACCGGGGCTGCACCCTCCGCTTCGAGCTGCTTGGCTGTGAGTTGAATGGTGAGTACTGAGGGCTGTGGTCCTTCTCTGCTCCCTCTTTTCTCAGCCCAGCTGTGTTGGGTGGGCAGCAGCAGGGCCCTGGGCCTGGGCTAACACAAGGGCAGGAAATACACACTTGACTTACCTGGCCATCAGTGGTCTTGCTCAGATGTTTGTCCTCTGCCAATCTGTGACCCGGATTGCTGGTGTGGGCTGCGGGCTAACGCGTGGGACTGCAAGGTCGGTTTGAGCCGAAAGGTCGACTGTTCAAGCTCACCAGCCACTCCTCAGAAATGCTATCTATACAGGGTTGCTGAGTCGGAACTGACTCAATGGTGCTAAACAACACAACAATCCGACCCTGTGCATTGTAATTGGTAAAGGAAAAGAGACGTAGTAGATAGTCCTTGGATTATAAACTGTTTCCGTTCCTGAGTCTGTCTAAGCTAAATTTACACATAAGTATTTAATATAACATTGGACTAGTCAAATTTTGTCTGAGTATGTAGTATATGCAGTCTTGGTATGGCGCTGTGGGACAAAGCTCTGGACTGAAAGGTCCATTTGAAACACAAGGTTGGTGGCTAAAAACTCACCAGCGGCTCCTTGGAAAACCTTGTACCAGGGTTGTTATGAGTGGCAATCAAATCGATGTCACTAAACAGCAACAATATAGTATACAGTGTATCTTTATGTGTATAAAATACACTAAAGAAATACTTCCAGATATACTAATATATCTTTAACATATAATACAATAATAAGAATGTTTTCATGTACATCACAAATTAGTGCCTGTATGTTACCTTAAACCATTGTATGTACCTCAAAGTTTTAATATAATATGGTGTTGGTGTATAAGTAATTCCGTGGAACTGTGGGTTGTAAGTAAGTCTGTCATCCATGGACTGTGTGTATCTCAGTGGGATGCTTTGCGGTTTTCAAAGTGTTTTCACTGGTTCTTTGGTCCTCTAGAATAAGCATTAGTTCTGTTTCATGAGGGCAGGGAGTTAGCATTCTTTACTGCTGTCTTCCAAGCGTCTAGAACAGCGCCCGATTCTATTAACTTGTCCAGTATTGTTAGTTGCCGACGCGTGGAATCTGACTCTTGGCAGTCTCGTATGTGTAGAGTAGAACTGTGACCTTTTGCAAGCTGAGGGGCCAGCCTCTGAGTATGTTTGTCTTTTGGATCATAATCAAGTGCTTAAGTATAGAGACCCCATGGTACCGAGTAGAACTGCCTCGTGGATTTTCCAACACTGTCATGTTTATAGAAACCGACAACTACATCCTTCTCATGTGGAGAGACTGGTGGGTTTGAACTGCTGACCTTTCGATTAGCAGCTGAGTGCTTAACCACTGTGCTATCAAGTCTTCTTAATATCTATTGGTGTTAAGTGCTGTGGAGTTGGTTCCGACTCATAGCAACTCTGTATGGGGTTTCTGAGGAGCTACTGGTGGGTATGAACTGCCAAACTTGGCGGTTAGTAATTTAGTGTTTATCCTATAACACCACACCAGGACTCCTTAACTTCTATAGAAGTGTTCAGTAAGTATTTGATGAGTGAATGAATGAATAAAGAAACTGAGGTGTACATAAGCTACTTATCAAGGATACATGGTTGGGAGGTATTAAAGCTTTGTCTAGATTCCTGAGCTTCTGATACCCACCTGCCCAATGCTTTTCCCTGCTCCAAACCTGTGATCTTTATTTAAGGGAAATATGAGGGAAGACTTGGGAGAAGCAGAAAGGAACAGATTTCAGCTCAGCCAGGAAAATCTCAGTGTTGACTAAATCCTAGAGCAAAGGAGTGTTGGGGTCAGGGGATTGGCCAAGAAGTGTCCGCAGCTCAGCCCAGTTTATTCCTTGAGGGCTGTGTATGCATTTCTCATAGCTATAGTGCCACCCGCTGGCCGCAAGGGGAACTTCAGGGCTCACTAGGCAGAGCTGTGGAGCAGAGTGGTCTTGTGCTTCTCTTAGCCAAGAGCTGCCTTCTGTGCCCCCCTCTCCCCTTTGCTTTCTATTTCAGAGACCACCTGGTACCACTCAGAGCTGAGTTCTCTGTCTGGTTAGATTTATGTGTGTGAACTTCAGTCATTGTTTTTGTGTGTTCCCTGTCTGCCTTTTGAACTTTTAAGTGCCAAATAAAAGACTTGACTTCCTCTAAACAAGCTTCTAGGCAACTGGGTGTTAAGTACTTGGCTGCTAACTAAAGGCTAATGGTTTGAACCCACCAGCTGCTCTGTGGAAGAAACATGTGGCAATCTGTTTCCATAAAGATTGTTGTTGTTAAGTGCCGTCAAGTCAGTTCTGACTCCTAGTGACCCTGAATAGGGTTTCTGAGGAACGGCTGGTGAGTTTGAACTGCCGACCTTGTGGTTCAAACCGACCTTTCAGTCCAGCGCTTATCCTACAGCACCACACTTCCTACTCTGTTCTGTAGGGTTGCTGTGAGTTGTAATTGAATCCATGACAATGGATGGTCAAGGTCCCTGGGTGGTACAGACTATTTGCTGTCCATTACTAATGTCAAGGTTGGTAGTTCAAATCCACCTAGTGGAAAGGCCTGTGGAAGTGCTGTAGGTTGTAGCCCTATGGAGCATTTCTACTCTGCAGCTCATGGGGTGGTTATGAGTCGGAATTGACTCCACAGTTGCGGCTTTGGTAACAGAGTCAGGTCTGTGGGAGACCTCTCCAGCATCACCGCTGTGGGGGTCTGAAGCCTTTGGCTGTAAGTGTTGCCTGCATGACATTTTCTGGCCCCCTCTTAAGGCCAAGGGTGGGTGAGAACTCCAAAGAGAAGGAAGTGAAGTTGCGTACTTCGCTCTAGCACTTGGCTGTGTGGATCGGGGTGAGGGGGGAGCATGTGTGTGTGGGGCAGAGTCCTGGACATTCCCGGGGACCCACAGAGGCATTGGTGGCCTGCATCAGGATTCCTCTTCACCAGCATTGTGTCTTTGGTGACTTGACTAATTATTTAATTTAATGGATATTTAGACAATAAAGGTAGCTGAAGACACACAGAGAAATTCAGGAGTTAAAAGCAAATAGACGTAGATTATGCTAACCGATGGTACATGGAGGGGATTGCAATCATTATAATGACACAAAGTATATGATATGTTGAATGTAAAACTGATGATCTGCTCTATAAACTTGCATTCAATTCACAATAAAAAGTTTTAGAAAGATAGACATTTATTAAGAACCCAGGGTGGGGGTAAGCATTGGACTACTAACCTAAAGGTTGGTGGTTCAAACCCACCAGCTGCTTCTCCGGAAAAAGGTGACACTGTCTGCTCCCATGAAGATGTACATCCTTAGAAATCCTGTGAGCCCATCTACTCTGTCCTGTTGGCTTGCTATGAGTCTGTCAACTCAACAGCAGGGAGTTTGCATCTTTGGTTTCCTGTGTGCCTGGCTCTAGGAGCAACACAGGAGAGACCTCTGACCTTGTGCCCTTGTGCCCTGCACAAGGTGAGGGAGAACAAAATGGAGCCAATAAAGGAAAGATCAGATTACGGTTAAGAACCATGAAGGAAAAACTTAGAGGGTGACTAGGGGCTGGGGAGTAGACTAGACGAGCCAGTTCAGGGACTGGTCTGTTGGGATGGCCTTTGAATGGGGACTTAGTGGGGAGCCAGCCATGTGAGAAATTCGGAAAGAGTGTTCTAGGCAGAGAAATCATGTGCAAAGGTCCTGGGGCACGTTGAAGGATAGAAGGAAGACCAATAGGGCTGGATCCTAGAGAGTGAGGGGAACTTGATTGGTGATGAGGCTGAAGAGGTGGTTGAAGCTAGATCAAGCAGGGTCTGCTGAGCCATTTTAAGACTTTTATCTGTATCCTGAGATAAGGGGTAGCCATTATTGGGAGAGTGCTAATTGGACTTGATTCTAGAAGAGTTTCTTTAGATTGCAGAGGGTTGAGCCTCTGGAAAGTTAATCATCATCCATCGCATTGGTAGTGCTGGCCTGGATCAAAGTAGATTAGAGTCCTCTACTCAATATGGTCCTTGGACCAGAAGCTTGCTGAAAATGCAGACTTCTAACACCATCCTAAACCTGTTGAAACAGAATGCTCCTTTTTTATAAGACTCCCAGGTGATTTGTGAGGAACACTGCATGGGTACCTCCTAATTTTACAGCAGGAGAAACAGGTTCATTGAGGAGTAGGGACTTCTCAGAGTCCCATAGGAGTGATGGAGCTAGCCTGGGGCTGTGAGTCCCGATACCTGCCCTGGTGCCCTTGCAATTGCACCTTACCTGGAACGATGTCTAGTTTCCTGGTGTCCTGGTGAGGCGGGAGTGAGGGAGGAATGAACTATTGGAAGCAAGTTATCTGCTGGAGGGCCCGCCTGGAGCAGATGCCGCAGAACTGACAGAATTGAGGATGCCCTCTGCCAAGCTGCCCCAGGCTGTAGGCTGCCTCAGGCCTCCCCAGGACTGCAGCCGAGACAAATCACCTCCTAGCCCAGTAGCCAGTCTCTGCAGGAGATGGGTGGTGGTTACCTGGTGCAGTGTCGCTGCCAGGAACTCGTGGTACCATTGGCAGGTGCCGTCAGCACACAGGCAGCTGTCTTTAATGGCAAGGGTATGAGCATCCAGGAGACAATGAAATAATGTAGAGCTGGCTCCCAGACCTTCTTCCACCCAAGTTCCCCAAAGAGACTGAAGTCATGGATTGGGGAATTCTGCTGGGCAGTTTCCCTCCCGTCTGTCCATCCTCTTGGCCACTTGTCAGGTGGAGATGGTGAGTGCAGAACAGCAGGCACACTCCTGAGTGTTTGGGGTGGGCTGGAGTGAAATGAACGAGTAGATCTCACAGGTCTTCTGCACCCCAGGAAGATCTGTTGTGTGTGAGACTCTCTTAGATACCGAGGGAGGGGTTGCTGGGGACGGATACAGGTGCCTGAGCCACAGCAGTTCTCTGAGTTGGAATGGACTGGGAGCTACTGGAGGTCAGGAATGCCACTGTGGTCATCTCTGGTCACCACCAGGCAGGATGGTGGCTATGACATCATCATAGAAGTTTGTGTGTATAACTTGGGTGCAATGTTAATGGCTCTTGGCCTCAGTTTTCTTGTCTGTGGAATAGGATTAGTGATATCTACTTGAAACCGTTCTTGGGCAGAGTAAATGACTATGGTGGTGGTGATGGTGTACCATGGAGTCGGTTTCGACTCACAGCGACCCTGCGTAAGGTTTCTGAGGCTGTAAATCTTTATGGGAGCAGAAGGCCTCAGCTTTTCCCCATGGAGTGGCTGGTAGTTTCAAACTGCTGAACTTGAGGTTAGTAGCCTGGCTCATAACCACTACGCTACCAGAGCTCCTTAAATGACTGTTGTTGTTAAGTGCTGTTGAGTCGATTCCCACCCATAGCGACCCTACAGAAGGTTTCCAAGGAGCAGCTGTTGAGCCTGAACCACTGACTTTGCAGTTCAAATGACTTTTCAGTCTGACACATTAGCCTACAGTGCCACGCCAGGACTCCTCAATGACTATGTTGTTGTTGTTATGTGTCGTGGAGTCGGTTCCGACTCATAGCGACCCTGTACAGGGTTTCCGAGTTTGTAAATCTTTATGGGAGCAGAAACCCTCATCTTTTTCCCACGGAACAGCTGGTAGTTTTGAACTGCTGACCTTGTGGTTCGCAGCCCGATTCGTAACTACTGTGCTACCAGAGCTCCTTAAATGACTATAGTAAACTCCAGATAAACAACTGCTGAGGTTCCCATGAGTCAGAATCCACTGGATGGCAATGGATTTGGTTTTAAGACCCTGAGTGGTGAAAAAAAATGATTTGCTCTCAGCTACTAATGGAAAGGTTGGAGGCCTGAACCTCCTTCAGCAGCACCACGGAACAAAGGCCTGGTGATCTGTGTTGGTTAATATCACGGCCACTGAAAACCCAGTGGAGCTTAGTTCTACTTTGTAGCATATGGGACCACCATGAACTGGAATCACTCCGTGGCCAAGGGGTTGTTTTTTTGACTTGTTATGGGTTGTTCTTGACAAAACTCCCAAGATTCAGTGGTGTGGATACCTCTGACACCCTAGAGGAAATGCTGTGAGTGCAGAGGAGGGGGAAATCTGACCCAAATGAGGTGATCCAGACAGGCTTCCTAGAGGAGGAAGTGTCTTATAAGTCAGGCCTTGAGGAACAGTGGAAGGTGGTGGTGTGGAGAGTGAGGAGAGGTGGATGGGAGGTCCATTGGCCATGAAAGGCGAAGGAGCTTCTTTCTGTTGTCCCAGAAGATACCAGGGGTGGACCAGAACACAGAACTCCTTCCCTTACATGACCTATGGGAAGTCTGTGGATCACAAGGTCTGGTGACAGCCCCCCTTGCTGGCAGGATGCTCTGAGCCCCTGGGCTTGAAGGACAACTCCATCCTCGACAAGCAGATCACAGCATCCAGCTACTTCAAGACCTGGGGCATAAATGCCTTCGGCTGGCATCCCTCCTATGCACGTCTGGACATGCAGGGCAAGTTCAACGCCTGGACCGCCGAGAGCAACCAAGCTTCCGAGTGGCTGCAGGTTGGGCTGGGCCCTCCGGATGTGGGGCTGGGGTAAACTGGGACCCTCAATCTTTGACCTTCGCTGAGCCCGGACTTCCACTCCCTAAGAGGATTTCTGAAAAGATGTGTTTTTCTCTGACTTTCTTCCTCCCATGGGCCCCACCTTTCTCCTGATCCTGTAACTCCCGAGGGAGCAAGGTGGAAACTCAGTACTGCTTCCAGGAACCGTGATCCGAGGTGGAGAGAAAGTGGGGGTGGGGTGGGGGGTGGGGCACGGTTAGAGGTACAGCCACCTCAGGCTCAGCCAGAGGCCAACAGGATGGGGTGGAGGAGCGACACCTGCCCCTGGCATCTCCAGGCTTTGTCTGACTAAGTACAGAATGAATATTCTAACGCACTCTTCAGTATCAGACATAAGACATTGGAGGATACTCCTTGGATTTGATTGAAACTGGAAACATAAGAGAATCATGGAAAACCCATTTTATAGATGAGGAAACTGAATCCAGGCAGGACTGAGGCTTACGGGCTGGTTGGCAGTGAGCTTGGTTTGGAACTACCTGTGTAGGGGCAGCTGGCAGGTTTTCCGGGAAGGTTCGTGATGGTCAGAGACAAGCTGGGGAGTGGGGAGGAGGAAGTCTATCACTGTGGAGTTGGGTTCTGTGAGCAGCTACCTGCCTTTGGTCTCCCTGAGCACCAGTGTCAGGTTTTGGATGGCCCTGCAGGGCATCTCTAAACAACAATAGAAAACGACCCCAATTCCCCTGCATCAAGTCCATGCTGACTCTACTATCCTGTGTTGGGTTTCCGAGGCTGTAAGTCTTTACGGGAGCAGAACGCCTCATGTGTCTCCTGGTGGGTTTGGACTGCTGATCTTCTGTTTAGCAGGCCAGTGCTTATCCCATGGCACCTCCACGTCTCCATAGAGGGGATCGCTAGAGCAGTAAATTCCTCTGTAGATTTGTGGTCTCTCCTGACTCCGTTCCCCTCATTCCCCAGCCCAGGGCTTGGGTAGTGACGGGCAAGGTCTAGGCTCTGAAATCCGAGCTTCATCTGCTCTGCAGTGCCTAGCATCGTGTCTGGCAAAGCAGGTGGTGCTATTTGTGTGCATGTCAGAGATGAGGAAGCAGCTGGGATCCCTCTTTACACCTTAGTGGAGATGGCTCAGAGGAGGAAATTGGTCTCTTACAGATTGACTTGGGTTCCCAGAAGCGGGTGACTGGTATTATCACCCAGGGGGCGCGAGACTTCGGCTACATCCAATACGTGGCAGCCTACAAGGTGGCCTATAGCAATGATGGCCTGAAGTGGACAGAGTATAAGGAGCTCGGGGCTGCCGACAGCCGGGTGAGTGTCTGTCTGTCTCTTTGTCCTTGGCTGTACCACTTCAGGGTTCCTGGGGACTTGACCCAGGACTCTGAAGGGAGGGGGGAGTCTAGCTCTGGGGCTCTCCTGACACCCCCCACCTCACCCCCCCACACCACCTCTGCTTCCAGATCTTCCCTGGCAACTCTGACAACAACTCTCACAAGAAGAACGTGTTTGAGACGCCCTTCAAGGCCCGTTATGTTCGAGTGCTGCCTGTGGCCTGGCAGAACCGTATCACCCTGCGTGTGGAACTGCTAGGCTGTGACCAGTAGCCCACCCTACTGCTCGCTGGAGGGACTGCACAGGCCGTGAGGGCGTGGGAGCACTAGCCCCCTCCTCCCCTTCAGGGGGCAGCTGCCCCTTCTGCCTTGTGATTGTAGCCAGAGCAGGGGTGGGGGAGGGGCTGGGGTGTCCAGTCACCCCTTCCTCCCTCAAGTTGACCCTTAACCTCCCACAATCCCCTGGGCTCAGGGGGCGTGTCTTCCCTCATGCCACCTTGTTTTCTTAGGCACTGCAGGAGTTGAGTGGTTCTGGGGTGGATGGTGGGGGCTCAGGAGGGGGCGTGGGTCACCTATACACTTTCACCTCTCTGGTCCCAGGCCTGGTGGACTTTAGAAGGGCCTGTGTCCTCTCCAGCCCCTTTCCACACAACACATCCCCATGACCCAGAAGACCACAGACGCCTGAGTAGAGATACTGCCTCTTCCATCCACCCGGAGACTGGAGGCCACATTCCCCCAAGACACTTCCCACCTTATCTCCCAGCAGACCTCTCTTGACCCTTGTTCTGAAGGCTGGAAAGAGACAGAGGGGGTGGGGTGGCTCTCTGCAGAGAGATGGGAGCAGAGTTGGGGAGGAGATGGGGTGGTTTGATGGGGAGTAGGGTGGGGGGTTCCCAGCTCTGTGCTGGTTCTTCACCCAGAATACGCAGCTTCCACAATATATTTATATTATCCACTGGGACTTTTGTGTGGTTCAGTTCATCGTTGCTTCATGGGCTTGGGCCTGGCTGGGTTGGTTCCTCCGCTCTTGGTTCTGCCTGAGTCCCAGCCCTCTTTGTGTTTCCTGCCCAACTACAAACTGCACAACAGCAGAAGGGAGGAGACACTGAGGGGGGTCTTGGAGGGTTAGGAGTAGCTGGGAAGATTGGAAGTTTGACCCCCCCACCACCACGACCACCCAGAGGCGCTTTGAGACCTGGTCGGATACTTCTGCAAAGTCATCCATTGAGAGCCCCAGGGAGCATAGTTCTACTTTAACACAAGGAGTCACTCTGAGCTGGCATCCACTCAATGTCATCTGTTTGTTTGTGTGTTTTTTTAAGTTTTTATTGTAAACTGAGTCATAGTTGACCTGGGAGAGCATCAGCTTTACATCATTTCATTGCAATGATTACAATCTCCGTGCATCATCATTCAACAATATTTGCTTCCATTCCCTCTATTTTTTTTTTTTTTTTGGCTGGGGGGCAGATGTACACAAAAACACTCAAGAATATATAATAATTTAAACCACCAAAGGGCATATTCTGCAAGCCTGCCTCCGGACCACCAGCACTCAGTCCCTCTCCTTCCACAAGTCCAGAGCCCTCAGCTGCTTCCTCATCTCTGGCGTTGCTGCTTCTCTGGATAGGGTCCCACATTCCACTTAAGCTCTTCTCCCTTGATGGTCCTCTGGTTCTGGACTGTAAGATTAACTACTCCCCTGTTTTTGTTACCAAATTTCTACCTTTACAGTTGTGAGTCTCAATTAGTCATGATAACAATTACTCACTATTGAACCATTAGAAGCTTATCCCCATCTCTTTTTACCAGACCCCAACTGCTTTTTTATCCCAAGTCCCAGAGACCTGCCCTCAGACTTCAGTACCTTGTGCTTCCCCCAACGGGCTGGAGGACCCAGAGCGGCTGCCGCAGACGTTAGAGCAGTGTGTGCCCACAGTATGCCTGACACTGAAGGCTGGTTTCACCAACACCACATCCTGCCTTTGTCCCCTTCCCATGCCAGGATTTCTGGTTTTCCCATCAGCAATATCTGTTTTCTCTGCCACTGGAGCAACGGACTGGAGAAACTTAGAAACAGAGCAAAAATGGACTGCTGCCGGGAGGCCTTGGGGTGGGAGGACCTGGGTTCTGCCAAATAAGAACACAGGGAAGCATGGAGCACCCCCTTTGGGAAGTGGCCAGTAGGTGGGCAGAGAGAACAGGCCAGAGCCCCAGATATCTGGGAAGAGGGCTGGCCTATAGAAGAGAGACTTAGGAAACCACTTTAGTTGTGGAGGTTTGGGATGCAGAGTGAATTTTCTAGACATTGGGATATCAACACTCATGGAAGCAGCAGTCAAGTCATCAGATGACGTATTGCATTAGGCAGATCTGCTGCACAAGACCTTTTTAAAGTGTTGAAGAGCAAAGATGTCAGCTTGAGGACTAAGGTGTGCCTGACCCAAGCCATTGTATTTTCAGTAACCTCATATGGATGGGAAAGCTGGACAGTGAATAAGGAAGACCATGGAAGAATTGATGCTTTTGAGTTATGGTGTTGGAGGAGAATACTGAAAGTGCCATGGGCTGCCAAAAGAACCAATAGATCTGTTTTGGAAGAAGTGCA